GCTTCATACATTTAGAAAGCTACAGTTAGATTCTCTTGTCATAGCCTGCATTATTTCCTGGGATCTTCCAACCCCCTAAATGACTTTTTTTTCCCCTAAATGATTTTTTAAAAATTTGTTTGCCGTAAGGTTCACTCTTGGTGTTGTAAAGTCCTATAGGTTTTGAATACTGCATAAGGTCATATGTCCACCATTACCGTATCATACAGAATAGTTTTACCACCCTAAAAATCCCTTGTAGTTCATGTATTCATCCCCTGCAGCTCAAATCCCTGGCAACTACTGGTCTTTTTATTGCCTCCCTAGTTTTATCTTTTCCAGAATGTCACATGGTCGGAATCATATAGCATGTGGCTTTTTCAGACTGATTTCTTTCACTTGGCACTATGCATTTTTGATTCCATGTCTTTTTGTGATTTTTTGGAGCTGACAAGTATTCCCTTGTTTTAATGGACTATGGTTGGCTTACCCATTCACCTTTGGATGGACATCTTGGTTGTTTCTGGTTTTTGGAGATTATGAATAAAGCTGCTGTAAACATTCATGTGCAGACTTCTGTAGAGACATACGTTTTCAACTCAATTGGGTAAGTACTTAGGAACATGACTGCTAGATCATATGGTAAGACTATGTTTAGCTTTGTAAGAAACTGTCAAACTGTCTTCCAAAGTGACTGTGCCATTTTGCATTCCTTCTAAAAGTGAATGAGAATTCTTGTTGCTCTGTGTCCTTGTCAGCATTTGATGTCAGTTTTTAAAAATTTTTCATCATTCTAATAGGTGCATAGTGGCATCTTGTTTTAACTTGTAATTTTGTGATGACAGGTGATATTGAGCATCTTTTCATATGCTTATTTTCCATCTGTATGTTTTCTTTGGTGAAGTGTCTGTTCAGATCTTTTGCCCATTTTTTAATCACACTTTTTGTTTTCTTATTGTTGAGTTTAGGAGCACATCTAACACGCAAATCTTGAGTTCTAAATACTATTCTCCACTAAAAGGAGCCAGAAGTCCTTGGAAAAGTGGTTGGTTACTGGGTCTGAGCAGGGGAAAGACAAGATGAGCCTGGAGCATCTTATAGTGCTAGAAAGTAAGACAGTGCTCAAAAAAAGCTGTGGGCTTGTCTAAAGGGTAGAGAAACCCATATGACAGAGGCCTCCAAGTGGCCAAAGCGAGAACTGACTGAGCCACAAAATAATAACAGTATTAGATTATAACCTATGGAATAAAATAAATATCCACGAATTCATATTGGTAATAAATAAATAATTGAATAAGTAAATAAATAAATAAGGCAGAAGGGATGGCTCTTCCTTAGAGAATGATTCTAATTAAATAATATAGAAGAAAAAAAATAATATAGAAGGAATAAGAGAAGTAGAAAATCACCATTAGAACAATACCACAAAAACAACTAGTGTAGGCAAGATCCACCAGTAGATGCTAAAAATAGCGGATGAAAGTGAGAGGAAACAGGATATTGGCACAGTCTTCAAGTATCTACCCCAATATATTTGTTAATTAAAAAGAGAAAAATAGTAACTTCACAGTGCAGAAACCCCACAGACATGACCTCAACCAAGTGATCAAAGTAAACGTCACTGCTAATAAGACATATTGACATCTTAAACCACAGATACGATATATTGAGAAGGGTACATCGCTTCTGTGGTATTCTTGCCCAAAACGGATGACCTCAATCTACTCATGAGAAAACATCAGACAATCCAAACTGAAGAACATTCAGTAAAGTAACTGACCAGTACTCCTCAAAATGTCAAGGTCAGAAAGACAAGGAAAGACTAAGGAATTGTCACAGACTGTAGGAGACAAAGGAGCCAAGACAACTAAATGCAGAATGAGATGATGGATTAGATCCTGGACCAAACAGCTCCCCCACCGCCCCCCAAAAACAAGAGGACATTAGTGGGAGAGCTGGTGAAATCAAATTTGCACCAATTCTCTAACTATATCAATGAATATTTTACTAGTTCTTAGTTTTGACAACTGTACTGTGGTTATATATAATGTAAACACTAGTGAAAAGCAAGTTAAGGGTATCTAAGAAATCCCTGTACTATTTTTGCAATCATTTTGGAAGTCTAACATTATTTCAAAATAAAAAGTTGGAAGTCATTTTGATACTCACCTTTTATCTGTTAGTTATATAAAAATATCTTCCTCTTCTTGCACTACAGTTGAGTAGATGCATGTCCAAACTAGCACCTCAGTTTTACCTCCCAAAGGCCATTCCACCATTGCCCTGTAAGGTCAGTGGCCTCTGACCTGACCAAAAAAAAAAAAAAAAAAGAGTGGGTTGTTCGGTCTTAGGTGATGTTATGTGGTATACCATGTTGGTGGATCAGATACTCTGGGAACCTTCAGACAGTAGGGCTGGCTGAGGCTATGGAGGCAGGAGAGGCAAACCCAGACGCACAATATGTGTTATGTTGATTTCAGCCCGCATAAATTGCTCCCCTTTCAGAATGGAGGAAGTCCAAGACAACTGACTTGTGACCAAGAGGCTGGCTGGTCTCCTTGAGGAATGGTACTAGGTGGGGGATTCAGTGTTGCAGCAGGGTGAACACCCAGCAGGGGCAGTAGCCAGATCAGCCGTTGTGAGTGGGTTCCATGCTAGTGGATTCATTTTTTGCCTCTATCCCTACTACCACGTGCCAGCGTTGGAGTGGTCACTGACCACTGATATCATTGGCCAGTGATAACCGGCAGAAGCATGCTATCTGCTTCGTTTGGTCTCTTCCGTGGCAGAGGCTCGCTGGTGGGCGTTAACATGCGATGCCCGTGCTCCAGAGATCCCACTTTGTGCTTACTCCTAGAGATCCATCTACATGCCTCTTCTCCAAACCTCTTGGACCCTGATTTTCCAATCTTTCTCCTTCAAGCCATTCACTGTTGCCCACGAGCCTATACTTATTGTTCTATCGGGCCATTTTTCTTTTTACGAAAGGGGATGATCAGGTGCGTGACCTGGAGCTCTGCCGACTGGAGGGACTTCAGTTACCCCTAAGTGGAGCTACCGTGCAGTGATAGTCCATTGTTAGCTTACACCCTCATACTGAGCCAACCCATTCATGAATCGGGCTTGAACTCTTCTTTCTTCTATCAGCTGGTGATAAGAGCTCCCTGTTATGGCCATATAGGTGTGAACTGAGGGAAAGGTGCTGGTCAGGCAATGGTGGGTGACCTGGGGATCCAAGCCACCTACCTGTGCAGCTTACTTTGCCCTCTGGCCCTGCTTGTGCCCAATTTTGTCTATTTCTCTTTTGTCTAGTGCTGGGTTGTTTTGGACCCATCTGCCTTTATGACTCGGTGAGTCTGATAGAACGTTCACAGCTCATGATGGCCACCTCCGGCCATGTGGGCACTTGATGTCTTGTGGTCACATTCACCATCATAACCAGGACCTAGTAGTGGGCCAGGGGTACTTTTTTGAATGGTGTATAGTCTCTGTTGCAAATGTCATGACCCTGCTCCCAAACCTTAGAGATCTATATTGGGGTTCTTCTTTTAGGGTTTGCCACAAACTCTCCCTGGCATCTCTCCTCCAATCATAGGTACCTCCAGGACCATTAGCTACGTGTGGCTAATGGAAGCACAGATACAGAACACTTCCGTAAGTAACAGAAAGTTGTACTGGACAGTGCCACATCTTGATCTAACAATTTACGTGAAATACAGAGACTAGAGGAAGATATTAAACAATACCACATGGATGCAAGCATCCACAGAATGTGGAAAATTCTGCAAAACAAGCTATCCAGTTTCTTTTATTTATTTATTTTTAAAGATTTTATTTATTTATCTGACATAGAGAGAACACAAGCAGGGGGAGCTGCAGGCAGAGGGAGAAGCAGGCTCCCTGCCGACAGGCTCCCTGCTGAGCAAGGAGCCCGATGTGGGGCTCGATCCCAGGACCCTGGGATCATGACCCGAACTGAAGGCAGAAACTTAACCGACTGAGCCACCCACGAGTCCCATGCGACCCAGTTTCTTTAACATATAAATGGCATGGGAAAAAAGTGAGGGGAGAGGGAAACCGCTAGAGATGAAAAGAGATTTATGAGACATGTTAACCAAATGCATTGTGTGGACTTTCACGGGATCTTGATTTGAACTAACCAACTGTAAAAGAGATGTTTTTTGAGACAAGCCAGTTAAGCAACACACAGAGAGTGGAAATGTGAATTCATTCATACGTGGCTGGGGAGAAGGACCCAAGTAGGAGTTTGTATTCGTGATTCAATTGAGAAGAAAAACAAAGCTGGAAACAGCTTTATCTTAGTAATGTTAGCAGCATGCTTCTCCAAATTTGCTGTGGAAGGAAAACGGAGCTTGGAAGAGCTTCAAGAGCAGCAGCCCCATCACTGCAGGATGGTTCTGAAATTCACCCAGCGGGAGGGTGGAGATGAAAGGACAGCCGGCTCTTCCTTTACTTAGCTGGTGAACTATAACGCACACTTAGCTCTCCTCTTCCAGGGAGCCTTCCAGGCTTGCCTCACTGCCCTACTCCATCCCATCCCCGAAGTTGGCTCCATGCACTTCCCTCCTCACAGTCATGCTCTCGGTCTCCTCTAACTGTGACACAAGCTGAGAGTTGCAGGGTAAGAGAGACAAAGGGTGTGCGCCAAGGCCCTGAGATGAGTTGGAGCTCAGGGGATACAGGAACCCAAAGGGAAACTGGAACTCAGATGCCAAAGAGGAGACTGGAAAGAAGTAGGGTTGATGGAGAGGGGAGCAGGGACCGGTAGGACGTTTAAGTCCATGGCAAGGAGCCTGTCTTTGTTTGAAAGACCAGGGGAAGCCACCGCAGAGCTTTAAGCCCCAAAGAAGTTGCTCTCCTGTTTCCCTTTGTGTTAGGTAAGCCTCACCTCTCCGTTGGGAGAACTGACACAAGCCTGCTGCCGTGCCTGACTCAGCAGGGTCTGGCAGGGCCACCTTAAGGCCGCGCCACCTTAAGCAGCCCCACCCCCTGCACAGCCGATGGGCTGGTGCGGCCACCTGGCCATCCGCCCCAGTGCGCACCCCGCTATGGCCGGTCTGCTCCGCGCTGCCGCGACCTGGGGGCTGTTCCCCTGGAGGGGCTACTGCTCCAGGGGAACGCAGGTAGGTGGGGGGAGGGGAAGCCCGCTGGAGGGTGGGCGGCCAGATGCCAAGTTTCCGCCAGGCTCTGCGCTGCACCAGCACCCTGTGACCTTGAGCAGAGGATCGCTGGGCTCACTCTGCCAAGCGTGGGTGTTGAGTGAGATGGGCCGAGGCCCCCCCAGCTGCCACAAATGGGACTATAAATGGGGTGTAAAATCAAAAGTGTACGGGCTCCAGGGCGCCCTCTTTGGGGCTCCCAAATATGCAGACACATTTTAAGAAACAATGCCTGGGAGGTAAGAATGTGGGAGGCGGCGCCCCTCTGTGGACTGGCCGTGAGGCTTTCCATTCCCATTCTTTCTTTATCAAGCTCGGCGTTTCTCGGTGCGCCTGGGGCAGTGTTGGAGGACGGGCAGAGATAAGTAACCCTTCTGAGCCACTTAGGCAGGGCTGGCTACGTTATGGAACCCTGCGATGTTCCTTTTTGTAGTGAATCTGGCTCCTATCTTTACCCAGGTGGTGTTTTTTCCCACGTGAAACACTGACCTCGATGGTTCTGTTTGGAAAGGGGCATCTTTGTAGAGTGGGTTTGCTTCCAGTGGGCCCACTGGCAAGGCCTAGCGGTGCTGGCCCTCGGGGTGGTGTCAGTGGGGCGTGGGGAGGCCAGAAGTGCCGGCAGCCCCTCCCCCACTCCAGGACCTGCCACCGGGGCCCCAGGTGCCTCTGGGCGACTCTGGCAGTGTGTTTCTTGTCTGCAGGGTGAGCTCAGCAAAGGCTTTGTGGAGGCTCTGAAGGCAGTTGTGGGGAGCCCGCACATGTCGACTGCTGCCGCGGACTGTGAGCAGCATGGGCACGATGAGTCCATGCACAGGTGTGGGGGCCCCTCCCCTACCAGAGCCCTGGGCTGGGAGTAAGAGGCCTGGGCTGTCTTCTCCCCCACCCATCCGTTTTAGGGGGGCTCTGGCCTTCTCTGCCTCTCCTCCACACCCATCCCTCTCCCACCGTGTAGCCTCAGGCCCTGTGATACCTTGGGGCTCCTTGGGAATGAACAGGACCAGTGGGTACCATGCTCCCAGAAACTGCTAAGGGTCTGGTTCTAGGTGCCAACCTCCAGGCGCCGTGGTGTGGCCCCAGAATGTGGAACAGGTCAGCCGGCTGGCAGCCCTGTGCTACAGCCAAGGAGTGCCCATCATCCCGTTTGGCACTGGCACCGGGCTTGAGGGTGGAGTCTGTGCCGTGCAGGTAGGCAGCCCCCCCCCGCCCCCGCCCTGCCTGGGCTCTGGCCCCCTCCCACTTGTCACACTAGTGGCTGCCTCCACCCCGCCTTACCTGCCATGGGGGGCGGGGGGCGGGCTCCGGACTGGCTGCCAGGTCAGCCTGGAGATGAGATCCTATGGAAGGTGGCCTGGCTCTGGGAAGACGTGGGTCCATCAGCTCCTTGGCACCCCTTCCTGCCAGGGTGGTGTCTGCATCAACCTGACCCACATGGACCGAATCCTGAAGCTGAATCCGGAGGACTTCTCTGTGGTGGTGGAGCCAGGCGTCACCCGCAAAACTCTCAACACCTACCTGCGGGACAGTGGCCTCTGGTTTCCTGTGGGTAGGCTGGAACTTGAGGCCCTTCCCTGGGGCCCTGAAGGCTCCCAGGTGGCAGGGCTGTTTCTGGGGCGCGAGGGGACCCCTCCATCCCCGGGTACTTGCCCCAGGCCGCACTCTGCCCTGCAGACCCAGGCGCAGACGCCTCGCTCTGCGGCATGGTGGCCACGGCGGCCTCCGGCACCAATGCTGTGCGCTATGGCACGATGCGGGACAACGTGCTCAACCTGGAGGTGGTGCTGCCTGGCGGCCGGCTGCTTCATACCGCAGGCCCCGGCCGGCACTTCCGGTGAGCACCCTCTCCCCACGGAAATGGGGGCCTCCTGGATTGGTGGACCAGGCTAATGAGTCTGCTCTGGTCTGAGACTCAGTTCTTCCTGCGCCAGGCCAGTTGGGGCTGTGCAAGGAACAGCTGTCGTGATGGCAGGCTGGGCCGACGCCCCCACCTGGCAGGGGCCTGGGGGACGGAGCTGGGCTTCCGGCTCAGGCTTGCAGCCAGAAACCCATCATCTCATGGCTGGGCACTCACCTACCTTGTGTGTCCCCGGGATCCAGGAAGAGTGCAGCTGGCTACAACCTCACGGGGCTCTTTGTGGGCTCTGAGGGGACACTAGGACTCATCACAGCTGCCACCCTGCGCCTGCACCCTGCCCCTGAGGCCACGGTGGCCGCCACCTGTGCATTTCCCAGTGTCCAGGCAGCCATGGACACCACTGTTCACATCCTCCAGGCTGCAGTGCCCCTGGCCCGCATCGGTGAGCTGGGGACTGGGCAGTCCAGGTGGGCTCCCCGGAAGAGGCCCCCTTTGAAGTCGGCCTCCCCTCACCTGCCCTCTCCTTGGCCCCAGAGTTTCTGGATGAAGTCATGATGGATGCCTGCAACAGGCACAGCCGGCTGACCTGCTCGGTGGCGCCCACACTCTTCCTCGAGTTCCACGGATCTGAGCGGGCACTGGCCGAGCAGATAGAGCGGGCAGGTGTGCTGGTGTGCTGTGGGGTGGGGGGGCACAGGCTGGCCCTGAGTAAGGCCCCGTGTGACACCCCCCACCCCCCGTGCAGAGGAGATCAGCCAGCACAACGGAGCCTCCCACTTCTTCTGGGCCAAGGAGGCCGAGGAGCGCAGCCGGCTCTGGGCGGCGAGGCACAACGCCTGGTACGCCACTCTGGCCCTGCGGCCGGGCTGCAAGGTGAGTTGGGTGGGGTGGTGGTGGCACCCCCAGCCCGCCACCCTGTTGTCCTGAGCAGTAGGCTGAGACCCAGTAGGCAGCATCGCCCCTACCCAGCTGTTTCTCAGACACTGTCTAGCGGGGAAAGTAGTTGTCTGCCAAACCCTCGGGAGGGAGCCCCCGCCTGGGCACAGGGACAGCGCAGGTGCTCTTAGGGTTTGTGAGGCTGGCTGGAGAGAGATGATGAAGCGGAAGGGGTCAGCCAACCGGAAGGGGACACTGGGCTCCAGGCAGCACGTGCGAAGGCTCGGCCTTGTGGGCCGCTCGGGGCCCTGCACGGAGCCGGGCGGGGAGCAAGGTGAGAGCTGGGGAAGCCTCCGCGGGCAGGGCAGGGCACTCACTCTGGCCATTTGTCCAGCTGTCCAGGGGAAACAGGCCTAGAGAAAAGCAGCTAGTTTTTGTCGGTGAGGCCCAGCCTCCTCTGACCTGTTCTTAACCTTGACCACAAGGACCTCTTAACATCCGGGGCGGCGGGGGGTGAGGGGGGAGAACCTCACAAACCTGCCCCCAACTAGGGCTATTCCACCGACGTGTGTGTGCCCATCTCCCGGCTGCCGGAGATCCTGGTGCAGACCAAGGAGGACCTGAAGGCCTCGGGACTCACAGGTCGGCATGCCCGCTGCTGGAGCTCCATGTGGGAGGGAAGGGGGATGGGCTGGGCTGGGGCAGCATCTCTGTCTTCTGGGCCCCCAGGAACCATTGTTGGACACGTGGGCGATGGCAATTTCCACTGCATCCTGCTGGTGGACCCAGAGGATGCCGAGGAGTTGCGCAGGGTCAAGGCCTTTGGAGAACATCTGGGCAGGTAAGAGCAAAACCCTTGGCTGGTGGGGAGGGGCGGAGGAGCACCCTGCTGAGGATCTCTTCACTGCCTCCCAGGCGGGCACTGGCACTCCACGGGACGTGTACTGGGGAACACGGCATTGGGCTGGGCAAGCGGCAGCTGCTACAGGAGGAGGTGGGCGCCGTGGGCATAGAGATCATGCGGCAGCTGAAGGCCATGCTGGATCCCCGAGGCCTCATGAACCCAGGCAAGGTGCTGTGAGGGGCTCCAAGCCCTTGGCCCACAAGCCCCCAGACAGTGGAACCTCCTGTTCTGGAACCTTCCTTCTTGTCACAGAACAGTTCTGTCTTGGCCCAGACCTGCAGGGGTCCTTGCCTGCCTTCCCCTTGGTCAGGGCCTCCCTGCTGCCAGGGGCCAGGGGCAAGGCCTCAGGGACTGAGCTCTCTTAGCCCTACTCCACTTGTCTGGTGACAGGAACATGCTTTCCTGGTGTAGGTGTCCTTGGACCCCTGAAATAAACCAGAACCCCATTTGCAGCAGTCTGGAGATGAGCAGACAGTGCCTGTGAATGGCCTCCTGTGCCTCCCCTCCCTACCTCCTTCAGGTTCTCTGACCTTTGTCCTTGTCCCTCGTCCCTTCTCCCCTGCCTGTCCTCTGACTTCCTGCAGCCTGGGAGGGGATAGTGCTTAGGCTACTGAAAGTCACTTCCAGGGACCCAGGTCCCTGTCCCATCTGCTGGTGAGAAGACCAGTGCCTGAGGACGACATCCATGGCCCATGGCCGACATCCCTCATGACAGACCACCCACCTTAGAACATTCTGAACATGTTCTCCAAGTGGCTGTTGCCAATCAGTGGAAATGGAAGTGAAATTTTTCTCCTTGTATTATACTGCTCCATGCTGTGATGTATCAGATTACTAGCTTTTCCCCTCCAAGTCAGGATCTGCCCTCCCCTGGGCCTCCCCGGGCCTTAGGATCCCTGGCCAGACCGCTTGGTCCGTGAACTTGTCAGTTATTCCCAAGCCCACGAGAGGGCGCCCAACACCAGAGCATCCACGCTGGGCAGCGGCACCCAGGATTCACCTCCGTCCAGGGCCTACAGCTCCCTGCCCTGGGTCCCCCTGCCTACTTCCCCAAGGTTGGGGTGGGGGAGGCTTGGTGTCCTGGAAGCCAGTCTCTAAACTCCACCCCAGGAGCCCATCATGTGGGCCCATCTCCCTTGGCCCCTGAGCAAAGGTGCTGGGTGAGCAAAGCAGGGAGGCCAGTTGGACCCTCCCATCTCCCCTTACCCCCACAAGCCACCTCTCCCCACCAGCTGTCCAAGCCCTGGGCAGAGGCTGCCCTTCTGGGACTCCTCAGCCCAACTTGGTTCTTGGAAGCCACTCTTAACGCTGGACTCAGCCCAGTTTGCTCCTCTGTGACGTTTCTACCCCGGGGCCACGAGCAGTCGCTGGGCCAAGGGGTGGTGTGGGGGCAAGCCTCACCGGCTCTCCCCAAGCAACCCCGCTCCACGAACAATCTAAGCATCAGCCGCGCGTGTCTGGACATACGGCTCCCTGGCCGCACCCCCCACCTCCACCCGACTGCCTCGCCCCTGAGCTCAGGGGAGAAGTCTGCAATGGAGGTTTCTCCCCTTACTGGGGACGGCTCTTCTTTGATGAGCTGAAAGAACAAGCACACTGTTCACTGAAATACCAGCCCCTGAAGACTCAAGTGACTATTTTTGCCTTATTTGCTTTGTGTGTGTACTTTCTGGGGAACCATCTGGAATTGAGTTACACATTTCTTGACACCATTTACCTACAGAATTCAGCATCTATCTCCTAAGCATAAGGACCTTCTAAAAACCTCAACACCGTTAAATGGCTGCTAGATGAACGGTCTTAGTGAGGTGCTTCTGCCCACAAAGCCCCCCAAAGCGTGCTGGGCCCTTAGTGGAGGGAGGGGGCAGAAGCCCCCTCGCAGTTCCTGCTGGTTCCCTCCCCTCCTGGAAAGACAGAGCTTGGGAGAGCTGCCTGGATGGAGCATGAATGACAGACCAGTCCCACCTGGGGAGCCTGCACCAGCTCGTTCCACCCCGACCAGAGGACTGGTGGCAACCCCGGGGGATTCGGAGAACACCACAGCCAGCAGAGGGCTGCCATGCGCTGGGTGCGAGTGCAAGTCGCTGGGGGTGGGGACAGGGACCAGCCTGGCATGGGCTCCAGCCTGCCCCACCGGGTCATGACCACTTGGCTCACCCAGGGTGCTGCCAAGGCCGCAGGGCCTAAGCCACCAAGGTGGTCACAGAAGCCTTCGCCTGCAGGCCCAGGGGTCAGGCAAGGAGATCTCCAGGGCCAGCTTTGCTAGAGGAATTAAATTTAGAACAGGGAGACACAGTTGCCAGGCAGAAGCAGGAGGTGCTGTGAATAGAACAGTGCTCTTTGCGGTGACAGAACTACCAGGGAGCCTGCTATGCATGTGCCAGAGGCTTCCGGGCAGATTCTCTGACCCTCATGGTGACCTCTGAGCTGTGCGACTCTGTCCCCCCACTCACATGCAATTGAATCTGAAGTTCAGAAGAGCAAAGTCGTCTCCCCAGGATCATTCTGCCCAACAGAGGAGCTCACATGCAGACAGTTTAGAGCTCATGCTCTTGCCACCCTGGGGATGATTGGTCCCCGGGGGGGGGGCTCCCTCATCCCGGGGCAGGGGTCTGATGCTAAGGCCCAGGCTCAGACCCAAATTCTTCGTTAGCATTTCTCTGAACATGCTGAGCGTGCCTGTGCCTTGGTTCACACCTGCCCACTGGCCTGCACTGCCCTTGCAGAGAGTGGGTGCTTCGGGAGGCGCATGACACTAGAGGACTGTAGAGACAGGGCCTGGGGAGGCAGAGCCCACAGAGGCAAGGGCACTCGAGGGCCTGGGGAGGGGTGTGGGCACAGAAGCCTGGAGGCATCTCCCTCCAGAGCCTTCCTCCGCAGGTTCTGCGGAGGGAGGCTCTGGAATGCCGCTCCAGGAGCCCCTCTGGCACGGGGACAGGCCGGGCATGCGTCCCTACCCCCTGCTCTGAGCTTCCCGCCCAGCTTGAGGTGTGCCAACTCTTGTGAGCCCGGAGTGGCTGCTTCTAGTTCAAGGGCTCTGAGCTGGCTCAGCCCCAAAGCAGGGCCTCTTTCTGGGCCTCAATGAAGCATGCCCATGAGTCAGCACTGAGATGCAGACTGAGCAACAGGCAGGGCAGGATGGGATGTGGGATGGGGAGCTGAGGATGAAGGCGGGGACTGGGCCGATACCTGGAAGAATCCACATCCTTGCAGCCTCCACTGGCCGCAAGATCTTTTGCCCCCGCAGATCTTTCCTGAAGAGTTCTGTCACAACCACTCCACAGGTGATGGCAGATGGACTCCATGATGCTTGGGAGGGCCAGGAACCCTGAAGGACTCGGGTCTGACCTGCCAGGTTCACTCTGCCCAGGCATGACTGCTCTGAGGACCACTTCACACTCCCGTAGTGCCAAGTAGCAGCCTGGAGGAAGGCTAAGGAGGTAGGTGAGGGAGTGGGGGATAGGCCTTCAAGCCCCACTTCTTGATTGTTTAATAATACGTCATTAAAATAGTCACACAGTGCACCTTTTATTAGACATTTTAATACCATATCAAAACACCTTGACTAATGAAGAAAGCTTTTCCCCCAAGCTTTGAACATTTTTTTAAACATTTTATAAGGTTTTTTTTTTTTTTTGTATTTTAATATATAAATACAGAAACCTATCTTGCATGGGCTGATGCCACGTGTGAACATCAATGGCTAAAATGTTCTCAAACAGAGTGCCTGAAAACAGGGATAACTGTACATATTCCTTTAATAAGTCTTTTGTCTAAGTTTTCTGGAAAAAAAAAAATCCACAAGGGTCTAAGAAAAATGTTCAGGCATTTTTGCAGGACACTTGTGATTGTTCAATCCTCTGAACTGACCAGAACCAGGAGCGAAGGAGGGAGAGGAAAAGGGAATGGAGAGGAGAAGATCCTTGACGGGTTGTTTTTTTGGCAATGAAGTTACATATCAGGGTCCCAAGGGGAGAAAAGTGCAAAACCAAGCCAGAATAATGGAGGAAACAAACAAACAACCACAACCCCCCAAAAAACAAAAACAAAAACAAAAGCCACCACCCAAGGCAGAGTGGTTGGTGATAGAGGGCCGACAGGGGGGCGCTGGGCACACGAGACCGTGCGCGGCCCCGTTCGTCTCTGTCACTGAGGGGGTTCTAGCCGGGCGGCAGACAGCAATCTGTAAACATCACGAGGGAAAACACCAGTCGACACTAGACTTTTTTTTTATAATTTTTTTTTTTTTTTTTTTGTAAACACTTTAGACAGACCCACAACGCCTTTCAAAGGTGTAAAAGAAAATGCCCTTTCCCTCCTGGGATGAGGGGTGAGGGGAAGGATAGCAGTTGATTCTTCTCTCAAACTCGCTCTCATCCAATTTGGTGTCCTCAGGGAGAAAGGGAGAACCATTCTCTGGAAGTCAGTGCAGAAGGGGTGCCCTGTTCCCACTGGTGTCCCCAGCTCAGCTCTGCCCGTGTCCGATGCCTCCTCTCAGGAACGGGGGCTGGCTGTCCCTGTGTGGACCGGAACACGTAAGTCGCGCTCTGGCGGCCAAGGCTGGCCGCGTGCATCCCGCCGAGGCTGGCCGGGCGTCTGTGGTTCCGTTCTGGGGCCCGAAGCCAAACGTCCTGCCGGGGTTGGGACTCCTGCTCCGGCGTTGGCCCAGTCCCTCTGCCTCACTCTCACCCTTGCTTTTTCTTCTCCCCGTGTCCTCAGTTTTTGAGGGGAAGGTAAAAAGAGCAAATGTCCCTGATTTGTCTGACATCATCAGCTGTTCTGAGAGTTTACTTGGAATAAATAAAATAAACTTAATGAAGAACAAAGGAAAACAAAACAAACAAAAACAAGAGAGTGAGAGCAAGAGAGAAAAGAAAAGAGGCCCCAAAACCTTTGGATGTGAGATGAGGTGGAGTCAGGGTTTTGGTTTCTCTGGCGGGTTTTGTTGGTTTGCCAGAAAAAAGAAAGTGCCGGACCAGAACTCGCAGGGACAGGTAGGACGGGGGACAGGATAGGATGGTCAGCAGAGAAGCAAGGTGCCCTGGCGGAGAGACGGGGAGTCAGGCTGCATGGCTAGAGAGGGACCACGTGTGCACATCTGTTGGGGAAGGCTGTGCCGGCCTGCTGCAGAGATTCGTCTGGAAGTGGACTGTGTGAGTGTGTGTGTGTGTGTGTGTGTGTGTGTGTGTGTGTGTGTGTGTGTCAGCGTGAGAGGCAGGTGGCCTGCAGGCGGGAAGAACCAGCAGTGACATCATCACGGGTGAGCACCACAGAGGACAGTGTACCGTCCCCCAGGCTGTCGTGTTTAATAAGTGGGATGTCCATATGGGGACAGGGAGTGAGGTTGTCCCCCTGGCCCCAAAGAAGCAGAGACCCTGAGAGACAGAACTCCCCCTCACCACCCCTCAAGCACGAGGCGGAGCGGGGCGCAAACCCAGGGTCTGGTCCTAGAGCTCACACTGCTGCTTCTCCCAGCCGGCACATTCCACGGGATCTTTCTGAACCTTCTTCAGGGAGACTCACTTTAGATGTCTGGAATACCCTGGTCTTTTCCCAATGAATCTAATTCTACTGAGCAGGTTCTCCTTCATTACCTTGTGAGTTCATATTTCCTATCCTTCCTGGAGAATCATACCAGTCCCTGCCCCCCCGCCCCCCATAGAATCACTAACTAATAAGATGCTCCCCTCTTGGTGGGGTGTGCAAGGGCAACTGAATTCCCTACCCTCCAGGCCCCAGAGTGACTTGACCCCAGGCCTCGAGCCCGGAGCATCCCCAACCACGGGCTCACCTTTGAGAGGAGTCAGCAAGCGAGCCCAGCAGGGTCAGTCTGCGGGATGTTCTGGACAAGATCTGTTCACTTCAAACCACGAATCTATGCAGCTGAGGCAGGGAGGTGGTAAGGGGAGACAGGTTACCGCTGACCAGGCTGTTCCTTAGGGGGTATTCTCCAAGGGTCAGGCTTCTGAGCAGAGGTTTGCTAAATCTCGCTCATGAGGACCTCAGGGGAAAACACCAGACACCCACTTTTTGAAGCAGGAAGAAGGGAGAACACCAAGACTGATCTCAGCTCAGCCTGAGGCATCAGCCCAGCATGGTGGGTATAGGATTGGGTGGATCTGGGCGCTGCAGGAAGTGGGGAGTATGGCCCTCTATGTGGCTTGGTGGGTTGTGGTCGGCATGGAGCCTTTCCTGGAGAAGGTGGAAAGGGAGGGCCAGCCCTCTGGCTTAGCGACGTTGCTGGGGAGGGCCGGACAGGAGGCTGACAGTGAAACCCTGGTCTCCAGTGTTTGTAGAAAGGACCATCTGAACCAGACAGGGAACAGAGATTGCCCCAAGACAGCTTTCTGATTTGGAAGCCAACATCTGGGTATCTTCAAACACAGGAACCAGGTAGATAATTTGCATAATTTCCCCCCAGAGCCAAACATTTCCATCTTCTGGTTCTGAGTGGTGCCTCCCTGGGACACTGGAGCACTGTGTGCTGGGCCCAGGCCAAGGCCCCCTCCCCTGGGGCCGACCTCGAGCCTCTCGGGCACCAGCCACATCTGTGTGCCAGGCACTACAACCACCTCGTGGCCAGTAGCCCTGTGCGGCGGGCTGTGAAAAAGCCTGTGTGTCAGAAGCAGCTCTGGGACTCAAGGAGCCAAGAGCAGATGGTGCACAGAGTGTCCTCCCATCTTGGGTAAGGAGGTGTCTTCTTTCTAGCTGGAAACAAGAGCGAGGCTCGTACTGGAGCCCGAGGACGACTCTCAGCCCTGTTAATTCCAGCAGCTTTTAGCGCCGTGGCCACACAGAGGGGCCCATGGAGGAAGAAAAGGCTCAAGGAGATGCATGCAGAACGGACCTTCTGGTTGGATCCTAAGTGCGTCCAACCTGTGGGGCTCCACAGGTCTCCCTGTCAGCCCTCGCCATCCAGGCTGCCAAACCAGAGACCTGCTCTGCCTCCACCCCACTTAGAGCCCTCCGTGGGAGGGCAGGTCATCCCACAACCAATGGGGACCGACCAAATGGCTAGTGATGAGGGTCCCCCCTTCTATCCCCCAGCTGCAGGGAAGGAACCCTCTGGGATCTCAGATGGGGATGCCCTGGCCCTGGTGGCCCTTCCGTACCTTTTGTGATAAATGCACAGGCAGGGCAGCCTGGCTATCGTGTCCCCCTGAAGCAACTCCTCCAGGCAGATCACACACTCACCCGCGTCTTTCGTCAGCACGTCATCTGCAAAGGGGGCACGGAGGAGAGTGGGAGAGGGTCAGTCACCAGCAGACAGGTGGCACAAAGCCGGCACAGGTCTAGGAACTTGGTTGGGACTGCTTGGGTCACCTGAAGTGGGCAAGGCTGTGTGGGCGACACAGGAGACCAAGGGTACCCTGACCTGAGACAAGACATGCACAGCGCACATCAATTATCTGAAGACAGAGTGGGATGAATTACCAAAGAAGCGGCCAGGGGATGGAGGGTGAAATGGGCTCGGGAGGGGATAGGCCTGTAGCAGAGGCCAGCTGCCTCCCTGAGCAGACCGTCCCCAAATCATACACGGCCCAGGTGCACGGAGTTCTGGTTTGGCAAAGCACGGTGATGGAGAGCGAGGCCGGAACTCCAGTGGCTGCGCGGGCGAGCATGTGCGCAACAGCCAACAGGTGGGAACAACCCCAGTGCCCCCAGCCGAGAACTGGATTAACAAACGGGATCTCGGGTGCCTGGGTGGCTCAGTTGGTTAAGTGACTGCCTTCGGCTCAGGTCATGATCCTGGAGTCCCGGGATCGAGTCCCACGTCGGGCTCCCTGCTCAGCAGGGAGTCTGCCTCTCCCTCTGACCCTCCCCCCTCTCATGCTCTCTATCTCATTCTCTCTCTCAAATAAATAAATAAAATCTTAAAAAAAAACAAAAACAAAAACAAACGGGATCTCTCCCTACAACGGAGTGTCACTCAGCCGTGGGAAAGGGGCGGAGCGCCGATGCGGGCCTGCAGTGTGGATGGACCTGGAGAACATCAGGCGAAGTGAAGGAAGCCAGACACAAAAAGTCACCTATCCGACGACTCCTTTCTGTGAAATGCACAGCATAGGCCAATCTGGACAAGAAGTAGGCCCGGGGCTGGGGGCAGGAGGGATGGGCGGGGGGGACTGTTTAATGGGTAAGGGGTTTTCTTCTTCCCCTTTTCCGGTGGTAAGAACACTTAGGAGGAGATCCACCCTTTTGACAGATTTTTAAGTGTGCAGAACAGTATTACCAGCTGCAGGCAGAATGCTGGGCGCCAGGTCTCCAGAACTTACTCTTCTGGCATGACTGAAACTCTACACCCCTCGAATGGCAACTCCCCATTTCCCCATCCCCTCGGCCCCTGGTGACTACCATTCTACCCTCTGGCTCTTTGAGATGGACTCTATTTTAGATAAAAGTACAGTCATGGGGGGTTTTCTTTTGAAAACTGTAACTAGACGGAGATGGTGGTAGCACAGCATTGGGAAGATCCTAAATGCTACTATGACTCAATTTAAAAAAGAAGAAAAAAAAGGTCCCCCACAAAAAAAGGAATGGAAGGAAGCTACTGCACACCACAGGCCCCTTGCATAGCCACAGCCGGAAAAGCCTGAGAAAAATAGGCAGAGCACCGTGGCTGGGGAAGCAGCCCCTTATTAAATTTCTATGACATTCTGGTGGCAACTCCGTAAAGAAGCCACGGTCTCAGGACTGAAGTCATAGTCTCACAGGGGAGGCGGACAAGAAAACGGAAATGAACAGCACACCACTTTCTAGGAAGCCTTACGATGCATACAAGTCCAGGTATGAGGGTATGGCTGATGCCCTGTCAGGGTGGGGACTGTTCAGGGAAGGACATTTCAGGCAACGGGAACAGTATCTGTGCACTGGGAACAGCAGGAAGTTTGCTATGGCGTGTGCAGAGAGCCGTGGGGCCACAATGGGGCAGGGGGGTGAGACCGACACCCCCAGGACGAACTCATGTTCTGCTGTGGTGCCCGGGCTTCATCTGGTTCACTGCGAGGCTCTGGAGGTGCATCCCAATCGCAGCTGGTCTCTGCTGACTACTGGAGAATGGGCTGGTAGAGCTCAGAGACGGGAAGCTTGCTCTGGACGCTGATGCAGCAGCGCTGGAGGGAAGGACTCAGGGCCTGCACTAGCCATGAGGGCAAGGAGGGAGGGATGGCACGCACTGACCAGGGCAGCTGGGCAAGCGGCAGGTACTTGTCACTAGGACAGGGGACCTGGGAAGAGGAGGACAGGCAGAAGTGAGTTCAGAGTTGGGTGGGAGGTGCTGACCAGGCGTCTCCACTGGGACACGCTAATGGAAACCTCCAGGAGTCCACTGGAGTCTGGATCTGGGGTTGAGAAGAGAGACGTGGGTGATGGGTGTAGATGTGGGATAGAGATTCACTGAAATCCAAGAGGGCAGAAGACAGAACACAAGGTTAACTCTAACATCTGAAAGGCAAGTGCAAGGGGTGAAGGAAGCCAAGGTTACTCAGAAGTTCCCAAACCACAGGAGAAATACCAAGAGGGTGGGGTTATGGATGTGAAGAAAGGTGAGCTGGAAGCAGGATCAGTTCCTCACTTGTCCTCGAGCACTGCCAGTGATGCCTACTGGATTGTGTGTGTGTGAGTGTGTGTGCGTGCGCGTGTGTGTCTTCAACCGAGCCTCACAACTTCATGAGCGACGGGGCATATGTGCTGGTCCCCATTTTGCCAAGGAGGATACTGAAGCCCGAGAAGTCAAGCACCTTGCCTAAGTTGGGGCTTTGCGAGTGGTAGTGCAGGGCCTGGAACCCTTCACATGGTGCCCCCTCCCTTGCTGTTTCTGGGTGCTCTCTGATTACTCTGGTGGGAAGGGAAACATCTGGGGCCCAGAAAAACGAGGATTCTTCATGGCCTAGAGGGCCAAAGTGCCTCAAAGTTCCCCACCATGAACCCTGAGGAAAAAGCCTAAGATAGGACCAGTTCAGGACTGACGTCCCTGTGCACAGAAGTCACTCTCAGCTGCCTGACCGCAACCACCTGGGGTCATTTCCTGCCAACATCAGGCTAACCCACAGGCCCACCCGAAAGGTGACAAGAACAGAAAAACCAGATGGCACACCATCAGTCTGCCCTTGGAGTGTCACCTCAGACTCCAAATGTGGCACATGGTGGATCAGTAAAAGGGCGCGATCCCATTTCCTAAAGCACTGGATGCCCTCCATATTGAAATATATGTGTGCATCTGTATGTTCGTGTAAGCACAGAAAACATCTGGGAGGATCTACACTTCAATGGTGGAGGAAAGGAGGACTAGAAGCAAAATGTTTTTATGTATTTTTACATTTATTTGCCCGTGCATTACCTTTAGAATTAAAAACCCCAAGAAGGAAGTGTACTGGTGTTTTCATGTGGCTCTGAAATGCATCGACAGGTGGATTTGGTGGACAGAGCTGTGTGACTGAGCAGGTGCAGGAAAACGTAGACTCTGGATGGTGGGGATTTGGGTGCTCATGGTAAAACACTCAAACTTTGCTGTATGTCTGACCCTTTCATAATAAAACACTGGAGGAAAAATCCCCAAAAAAGATGGGAGGAGAAAACCGGTCTGGCTTTGAGAAGGCAGAGCCATCCTGTAGACATTCCTGGGCGATGACTTCTGCCCTCTCTGCCTCAGGCATCTCATTGGTAAAGTGAGTTTGGGCCCTGGCTCCTGTTCATGGACCCCTCCCCACACTTTCGGATGAGTTCCTATCCTTGCGGTGCAGTAAGGTTACAGATCCAAGTCAGTATCCCCTGCATTTCCCCCTCCCCCACTGACTGGCACCCCAGCAGGGAGGCTGAGGGGCAGGTTAGAATTCCCTGGGTCCCAAACAGCTTCCTGTTCCTTTTTCTAACCAAGGACTCAGGCTTGAGCACAAGAAGGTCAGATGCATTTTCTTCGGAACAATCAATTACCAGCACACAACACTTCCCGAAGCATGTGCCTCATCAGCCAGCCTGGGCTGCCCCACCCGGCTGGGGAGCACATTTCCCTGGGGCCTGGAGTGGCGAGGATAGGGAGGAGTGAGGGGCTGGGAACCTGACAGTGTGGGGAGGCCAGCGGTATTCACACCCAGCGCGGTGCCCAGGGAGCGGCATTCTTCCCAGAGGGAAAAGTGGGAGCTACACAGATCCGGCCCCAGGCCTGAGTGGGCTGAGTAAAACTTCCTGTCCCAATCCCTGGAGTTCTGCAATCAGCAGCCCCCAGATGTCCCTGGGAGCTTAGCAGGCGGGTGGAAATGGCTGAAACTGATGCCCGGCTACCAACTGGTTCCTGTGGGATTTCCAAGGGATTTCCATACTCGTCCTGCAGGAGGCTGCTGCCCGCTGTCGGGGACCCTGGGCCTGGCACAAATTGAGGCCACCTGGTAGATGGACACAAATGTCCCTTGGTATCCCCAGGTACCCATGGGAGGGGGCCTTAACCGAAGCCGGTTGAGGAGAACACAGAAACGAAGCTGTGCTTTCTGCCTTTTTCTTACTGGCTCCTAACCACCACCACCACCCGGCCCGGCCCCGCCAAGCTTCCTGATGCCCTGTGCAAAGCCAAGGTCACTGCCCAAGGGGGAGTTCAGAAGTGTTTGGTCTGGCTGGGGGTGGTGCTAAATGATGCCAATGCCTATCCCTCAACTAGACCAGGGAGCCAAACCAGAGGCAAAACTCTCCGGCGCCACAGCGGGAGGGGTGATGCTGGGGTGGGGCGGGGGTGGGGCAGGGGTGGGAGGTGACTGCATACTTCTGCTCCCTCCCTGAGATATAGGGGGAGCACTCTAACAGCTGCTTTTGTCAAAGAAAGATCTAGGAGGAGGAGAGAAAGGAGGCTTCACTTCTTTGGGGTGAGCTATATACAAGGACGCCACAGAAACATCTCAGTGAATGTGAAAGATCTTTCAGGGGAGGTCTCTGGATCAGCTCATGTAAGCTGGTAAGTGGCCATGGCTCCCAAGACGAGGTCCTTCCACTTGGCCACCTTACCTCCTTTCCTTAAAGGACCAGGCGAGAGGGTCTCTTCCCTGGAAGAGGAAAGCTGGAAAACACCACCCATCCCAGTCTCAGATCTTTCTCTTCTTTTTTTTTTTAAGATTTTATTTATTTATTCATGAGAGAGAGAGAGAGAGAAGCAGAGGCAGAGGGAGAAGCAGGTTCCCCGCGGAGCAGGGAGCCCGATGCGGGACTCGATCCCAGGACCCTGGGATCATGACCTGAGCTGAAGGCAGACGCCTAACCGACTGAGCCACCCAGGCATCCCAGATCTTTCTCTTCTTGTGGAACTACTGTGCATGTGCGGCCCAAGAAGGGTGCAGGAGCCTAGACTGAGGGAGCCGCATTCTGCCCCCCTAGTGCCGCCGTGAGGCTGAGCTGCCCCGTGGGGAGCCCCGGCTCCCACATTCCCCAGGGGACCCCCAGAGCTGCTGGTGTCATGGAGCGGGCAGGAAGGCCCAGACAGCTACAGATCCATTTCTGCCAGCACCGGCACCCTGGGGGGAAGGCTGAAGTTGGTGCAGCTCGGAGCCGGCAGCTGAGAGCAGGACCAGACATAATGCATTGCCCCCGGTGCCCAACGGCAGTCGAGGCCCTGGTGGGAAGGAAGGTAGGAGCCGGAGGGAGAACCCCAAGTCTGACACAGACCCCGGCTCCACCTCCTGGCCTCAGTGCCGGCCCCGGGGCAGTAGAACCTGGTCCTGCAGCCTCCTCGGCAGATGCAGAGCTGCCAGGCCGTCTCCTGGGGGTTCAGGAGGGGCCGTGCCATCAACGCCAGGTCTCACCAGCTCCCCTCTTGGGAAATCTCCAGGAGCAGGGGTAACGGAGTGCAGAGACTTCCCGTACCAGTGGTGGCATCCCCAGCCCAACACCCCAGATTGTGGGGCGTGTTCCAATTGTTTTGGCAGGTTGGCTGCAATGATGGAAGCCCAGAGGGGTCAGCCAATAAAGTTCAGGCCTGGAGGGCTTCATCTTTACTGAGGCTCCCCACGGCGACACCACTCAGTCCCTTCTCTTGTAGCCACCTGATTCTGGTGTCTCCGCTGTGGCGAGCCTCTGTGGGTCTCCTGCCTGCTGACTCCTCACTCACCCTGCAGCCCTCCGGTCAGCAGCCGCCGGAGGAGGGGTCCCAGGGCAGACACCTCTGAGTCTGGCATCGCTACAGCACCTAACAATAGCCCCTGGCAGGGCCCCACTGGGTTGGGCACACTCCTCCGCCAGGACGTGGTTCCTCCAGGCTTAAGAAAAGGCAGGTCCATCACAACCACAGGGTCTCAGCAGGAATGCAGGCCAAACAGGCACCATTTACACAAGTCTGCTGGCTCGGGGTAAACTAGCGGAGGTATTCCTGCTTTTCGGGGGGGGAGGGTCAGATTCCCTTTCCTTTAAAGAAACTTTGTGTGACATGCAGCATTTTCAGAGCCCTGAAGTTGGGGGCAATGACTTTAGGCAGAGAGGAGGAGAGAAGGTAGTTAGGACCTAAGAAGCAGGGCATGGGTAAGCACTCCAGAAGAGAGCTGAGCATCTCCTGAAGCCATTTTGATAGCCACCAAGTTCTCCTCAATACTGCTGGCAAAGGAACCCGAAACACCCCAGAATCTACCGGGACCACGGACCCCTGGCTGGTCTTGGAATCAAGGCCCCCTAAACTTTCCATGGACAGCTGGCCATCAATCATGCCCCCCCACGGTATTAGGACTCTCTTCTGTTCACAACAAAATCAGGTCCTCCAGCCCATCTCAAGGCTCATTCTGCAGGCTGAGCAATGTAAAGGTCAAAATTGGACTGCATATTGTTGAGGGCGAGCTCTCTGGTCTCAGAACTACAAACAGATGTTGGAAAGGGAGAGAAACTAAAGGCCCATTCAAGCTCACTGCATTTACCCACAAAAGTGGGACCCACCAACTCCTCCCTCATCTCCTAGGGGTCCTGAGTTGAGAGCCGCTGTGGAGGAGAAGGAAGGATGGAACATTCAGTGCTCTGGGGTCAGGCACCCTCCCTGCACCCTCAGCCTGGGGTGGCTACTCACAAGCCTTGCGAGCCAGGTGCTTGCCTTGGGAGTTCCAGTTCCTGCTCTTCACATTTCTCTTGAGCACTGGGTGGACCAGTTAAACTAGTCTTGCCTTTCCTAAGTTGGTTTTTTTTTTTTTTTTAAATCTGGCAGGCTGCTACTGGAGGCTTTCCAACCCACAGCTCAGGCCAACCCTCATAATAAGAAAAATACTACTTTCTATCTGCCTCATTTAGGAGGTTTCTACTTTTTTTCCTTTGGCGGTTAACTAAATTTCATCTTATATAACCACTGTAAATTTTCTAGAAATTTCCCCAATTAGCGCCAGCAATTACAGAAAATGTGTGTATATGTGTGTGTAGATGAGAAATCTCCAGGGGAGTGACCACGAATTCTGGTGAATCTTCATAAGAAAATAGCACTTCGCTCTCTATCCACTAAGAAAGACCCATCTTGCCCACTTTCCAGAAGATTCTGGGAGCTCCACACTCTACAGATTCTTTAAGTCTCCTCACATTTCTTTTACATAGAAAAGATAAAGTGAAGGTGGGGAGGATGGGATGATGAGGAATCATGGGTAAAGTATGTTATTGGCAAAACCAAAATAAACACCCAGAGGTCCTGACTTGGGGGGCCTATGGCCCCTGAAAGCCCTGTCCTTTACGTGAATTAGAACAGGCCCTAGACCAGCTCTGGAGACTTCCACTCCACATATACACCCCAGGTGGCAAACGCCTTCTCTTATCTGGAAGGTTCAGACGTCTTCAGTGAACACAGAGCCTGGCTCCCGGGAGCCCAGTCATGAAGGCGTAAGTGTCCAGAGAGAGAGGCCAGCCATCATTTCTGAAGCATCTTCATGGCCTTAAGTCAAATCCCACCAACAAGACCGGCTGCAACATGCCTCTCCCTTGCCTCTGCCGGGAAGGACTGGCTTTTGTGAAAGAGGACCTTGAGTTTAAAGCCTCTAGTTTACAAACACACACACACACACATACCCTGAAGAAGTGGCTTTCAATGAGAGGAGGAGGGGAAAATGGGGCCAGAATGGGAAAAGCTGCAGTTCTGTCTCAGGCTGGTTGGCCAACTTTCTCTTCCTCTAAGGGGACTCTGACTCTGAGGGTGACTTCTGTGGGCGGCCACGCCGGCTCTGCCCTGTGGCTGTGGGCACGGAGGAGAGCTCCAGGCAGCACCTGGCACGTACAGGCCCTCACCTTCCCTGTTCTCTGAATGGGGCGTGCGGGTACCTCTCACTCAGGTGGCCCAAGAGCACTCTGTCCTCCACAGCTGCCCTTGCAGAGTTCTCCCTGATGATGTCAAGAGCCCAGTCCTCTCGGGTGGAGCCCACTCTGAGGCTGCTTTGTGTTCTTATGACAGCGAGGCAGTGTCTACACAGAGCTCTCCCCAGCCACCCACAGGACAAAAAGTGGTCTTCATGAGGGCTGTGCACATGTGGAGAATAAGTGAACACAGTTTCTGAGGCCACGGTTGGGGAGGGCTGTGGGCCACGGGAGAAGACTTGTGTCCCTCCATGGTCCCAGGCAGAGACGAGGAACAGCAAGAACAAAGTGGAGCTGGCGCATCCTTTAAGGAACGTACACTGACAAGTCTGACAGGAAGCCCAGAGCTCACATGACGATGTTTCAGAAAAGCGGGAGCAGCGGTGTCCAGGGACAGGGAGCGGCTGTCCACAGGGTAGAAGAGGGGCTTCCTGGGCACCAGGTGGGAAATAAAGGGGAAGGAACGCTGGGGGCGGGGACAGGGCCACAACTTGCCCTGCAGCTGGTGCTCCGACCCAAGCAAACAGGACCAGACTGAGTGTAGCCCTGCCCCACGCACACATACAGAATCGGCTGAGCAAGTAAGTAAGAGAAAAAGGAATAGCAGGGTGTGTTTTTAGGAGAAGGAGTAGACCAGATTTGTCAGATGTACTTTGCAGGAACAATCTGGAATCATCAGGTCTCCCTAGGCTAATGCTGTGTGGAGGCAGGAGTGCATCTGGGTCTGAGGAGGCAGGAGGCCAAGGACAGCTCTGGAAGGAGAGTCTACCCGGGGCAACTTTCATCGTCAGGATGGGGCTCAAGTGATCCCAGGCTCACCTCCTAGCCAGTCCACAGACTGAGAAACCACAGAATTCGTCCCGAGCACTGCTATGACTTCAACCCCAGAAGGCAGCCTAGTGATGGGGTTGGGACATGCCCCCTCAGACCCAGTGCCTGTTCTTGTAGAAGATGCATTCCTCCAGTGAACATGGTCTGAAGACCAGATTAAGCACGTTAACAGTGGAAGACCAGAGAGCTGCGGGCAGCCCACGGTGCCCAGCACTGAAGAGACCTCAGTCCACTCTGGAAAATGACGAGAGGAGACCCACGGATGGGCTCACATCTTTGAGGGTGACTGTCTCGATCAAAGCCAGCTCTAACTTCCTGAGCACTGACCATGTGCCAGACTCTGTATTGAAGGGTTTGAGGTGTAAGTGTCTTACATTATTCTGACAGAAATCCTAAGAGCCAGGTTACTGACAGTCCCGTTTCACGGACCAGAACACCAAGGCTCTGCTAAGCTGAGCAGCTTGTCTAAGACTGTATGGTCAGTAAGTGATGGAGGCGGACTTTGAATTCAGATCTTTCCCCACAGCATACCAGGCAGATGTCGACATTTCCTTCGTCCACAGAGGTGCCGTGTTTCACGGGATGGCCTGGCCTGGTAATTCTACCCCCGGTGCACTCCCTGCTCAGCTCTGAGGCAGCCTCCAAGGTAGGAAGCAGTGTGGCCTTGGTGGACTGACTAGGTGGCAGGTCAGCATTTTTAGTCCCTGAAGGGTGTCCAGTTACCGAACTTATTCTGCTATGCACACCAGTGGCACCGATGCCCCCTCCCCCGAGGAGGTGGCATTCCCCCCAGGCCCTCCACTGGCAGCTGTGTAAATGGGCAAAGGCCTAACTGAGCAACCAGAGAAACTGGCCAGTGCCGTGGGCCTGACCGCTGGCCGGGCCTTCCTTCCTGTTCTACTCTGCTTCCTCCCCAGCTGCTGCACCAAGACCCCCGGAACAGTTGATTCCTCGACACTGTGCAGGCATTCCTGCCGGAACGCGGGGCGCCAATGCTGCCCAGAGCCACACGAACTTGGGAAGACCCTCACTCGGAGGTTCCCCCGGCCAAACCCTTACCGTTGTAGGAGAGGCGAGGTTTGCTCAGACACATTATAAAGTGCATTTCCATCTCATCAGAAGCCACAGACTTGGAACAAATGGGGCACTTGAAACCTGAAAGAGAGGAAAACAGTATGAAATACTTCCTCCAAACCAAGCACACCCACAACCAACACAGAGGCCCTTAGATAGCTATGGCCATGTGGGGTCAGAGTCAACGTGGAGAATTCCAATCTAGATATACCCTAGACCTGATCTTTCCTTCATTAATTCTGTTATTTTATCACAGCCTCCCAACTCCCACTGGCCCGCCAGGGCTGTCCCTGCCACAGGCGTCTCGGCAAAGCTTATCAGAAGGCACGGGCAGCTGGTTTGATTTTATTTTCCTTTAGACCCTTTCCCAGGGGGGTCTAGTGGGCAGCAGGGATAAGCAGGAATGCAATCAAGGCAAACACATCATCAGTCTTTGAGTAACAAAGCATTTAATACCCTTCCTCCTCACAGCCCTCAAACCACTTGGCTGGGCCACCTGTGGCAGGAAGCCTGACAGCGGTCAGGTCAGCACCTCCATCCCTCCCCCGGCCTCCGGGAACCAGGTAGCACCTCCATCCCTCACCCAGGGCACCTGGCCTCCCTGTGGCCCAGGCAGCTGTCCTCTGAGAGTGTGGAGCAGCAGGGTGGCCCTCCGGAGCACTCCCAGATGCCACGCGCGCCTTGGCCGTATGCCACGGAGAGTAACAGCTGTTGCACAATGCCTGGCGAACACAGGGTGGGGTGACCCTGCTGTTCCACTACCAGGGGAGTCTGGACTGCTTGTACATCTGAGCAGTTTCATCAGAACTGTACCCCTACTGGAGATTTCCACTGAGAATCTTCTGAGCTGAACTCCATTAAGCAAACCCAGTCCCCTGACATATTTATAAACAACTTTTTAAAAATAAACGATTTCCAATTTCCCCCATTTTATTTTTATTGAAATTATTTTCAAATGATCGACTCTGTTCCATTCTACCAAAAGGATCTAATACCACTGGAAACTTACTACTTATTTGTCCACATCTAATTTCACACGTTGCAGCTTCTCCCTTTTGTGACTGTAATTCTTACCCACCCAGCCTGGATTTCCTAGGTCCAGTACAGCACATCTAAATCTTGTTGTGAAAATCTGACTCTCCCGGTAACTTTTCAGTCTAAGTGTTCCACACGCAGTTTCACTGGATGCTGGTAATATCTGTCGGCAACACTTCCTATTACACAGACAAAAGCCGGAGGGCTCGTATTGACTGTTCGCTGCTCCCGGACGGAGGAGGACGTCAGACCTTTCTTCCCAGGGCCTTGCTCATTCTGTACGGAAAGCCCTGGACTTTGACAGCTGTGGGTGCAGACAGGAAGCAAGCCAGCTCCTGTGTTCCCATGTAGGGCACAAGGACTTTGCTTAAAGTCTTCTCCAAACCCTCCTCTTTTCAGTGACAATGAACTATAGGACCAGACAGAAAATCCAGGGTCCAGTTAACTAAGGACAAAGTGGACCTCAGACTCCGTGGCACAGTCCCCATTTCCCCGACCCCTTTCCTCAAAAATCATGAGCATCCTGTGTCTCAGCTAAAAAGTCTTGCAAGTGCTATCAATCCAAGGATTCTGGCCAAGCTTGGAGCAAGGGCTGTACTTTCTGATCTCTGGGTGGTTATGAATCCATTAATAACAAAACCAGAAGACTGAAAAGAAACATGGTAGGGGGAGGGTCCATCCCCAGTTTTCTGGCAAAACCCGATCTCAGATGTGCCAGGCTGATCTTTTCTAACCCAGTTTAGAAATCTACAGACACAGTGTGACACACGTGGTGGACAGGTGAGTAATGAACTTGAGTCTTGTACAACGAGGATGTCTCCACATCCACCCTAGGTCCCTCTGAAGCCTTGGTTCTGCCCTCATGCCCAGGCCCTGCAGATAAACCAATATTAAGGAATATTTTCTTTAGAGATTCCTTCACCGTTTTTTTCTGACTCAAAAGACCAAGGTTTTATGTTACCTTAAATGACTACAGGACATTTCTAGTTTAAAAACTTGTTACGTTAGCACCCTGTCTGCAGGCTGAGGGCTCAGAGCTGAGGGCATGCCAGGGTGGACACGCTCTGGACTAGCTCCTCCGACACCGGGCCCCAATACAGTCGCTGGGAGGTGCTGAAGTGAACTGTTACTACTGATAAAAGGCCTTACGCTTCACATTACTCACTTTCCTGATAACTTAGAACAGATTCGTGGTTATCACTATAATAGCATCAATCACCCCTGCATCCCAACATGACTCCTTGAATGCAGGACAGGGAGTCAAATTATAGCTAAGGTACTGGGAAGTAGGCCACCCAACGAGAAGGTCTACAAGGAAATGTCACTGGACGTTTATGTCCTACAAAAAACAAACCAAGGTGAGATTCCCAGGTTTAGGCCAGTGCCCTCATTGTAAAGAGAAAGAGGCCTTGAAGAAGACTTGGGCTCAAACTCTTGAGGGGGTGGGGCTGAGACTGGTCGGATTTCTTAGCTGGCCATCTCAAGTCCTTTCTAACGGGAAGAAGGAGCCGACTACCCTTGTGATATTGTGATTTACAATAAGAACTATGTATTTGGTCTTCGTTCTGTTCCTGGCACAGATTTCCTAACACCCTGGGAATTTCCTAACATAATAAGACCAGTAGTATTTGGTCTTTTGTCACTGGCTCCTGAAATAGCTCCAGAGCCATAGGGTGAAAGGAATGTCTTGTTACTCATAACGAGTCCCTTTCAACCACACCAAAATTTATGTTAATGAGGTCACTTTGGGAAAGTTCCTTGGTAAACTAAGGATGGGGGCCAGTTGCAAGGGGAACCAACCAGCTGATTAGAGGGTCCGAACTTTTGGTCCTACCCCTCAACCTCTGGGGAGGGGTGGGGGCTAGAGATGGAGTTCAATCACCAATGGCCACTGATTTCATCAATAATGCCTATGTAATAAAGTCTCCATAAAAACCCCAGAGGATGGGGCTCAGAGAGCCTCCAGGGCAGTGAACACATGAAAATTCAGGGAGGGTGGTGCCCCATGACAGGGCACAGGGGCTCCATGCCCTGTCCCCATACCTTGCCCTCTGCATCTCTTCCATCTGGCTGTTCCTGAGTTATATCCTTATATAATAAATTGGTAATCAAGTAAGTAAAATGTTTCCCTGAGTCCTGTGAGGTGCTCCAGCAAATTAAACGAACCTGAGAAGGGGGTCATGGGAACGTCTGATTAAGAGCCAGTCAGGCAGAAGTGAAGGTGACAACCTGTACTTGTGATTGGGGTCTGAAGTGGGGGGCAGTCGTGGGGGACGGAGCCCTTAACCTGTGCGGTCTGATGCTATCTCCAAGTAGACAGTGTTGAAATTGGGTTAACTGCTTGGTGGTGCTGGGAAAACACTTCAGAACAGGGTTTTAAGAAGAGGTGGGCTGGGAAACATTACACCGGGAGAGAAAGCACCATTGCGGTAGGAAGAGACCTAGATTTTAGCGAAAGCAGGGTTAGTGCCACTTGCATGACCTTCCTCTGGAATGGGGGGCGGGGTTAAGGATCAAAAAATAATTCAGGGTCTATTACGTGAGTGGGAAATGACAAGATGACCTGGGTTTTCCAGCTTCGAGATGTGGTTAAGTAATCTACACTCCCCGGACCTCCGTTTTCTCATCGGAAAAAAAGAAGACTTTGCCTCTCTTGCAAGGATCAGATGAGGTAAGAAACCTGAAAGCGCCCAAGAAGCTAATCAAATGTATCATCAAGCCCGGCAGCCCTGAACGAGGAGGAAGGAAGAGGAGGGCTGGGGAAGGATTTGGGGGGGCCGGGAGGTGGGGGTGGTGGAGCAGCAGGGCAAAGAGGCCGCAGGTCACACAAAGTGTGCCGGGTGGGGGAGGGGTGGCCATCTCTGCTTGTCCCATCTGTTTCCTCTGAACTTCTGGAGCACCGTGCATGGCACTTTCCATACTGCCCGTGTGAAATGAGGCTCCCTGTTCAGCCTCTTGCATGTGATGACAGACAACAGCTTGCGTGCATTGAGTTGTTACTGTAAGTGAGCAGCCAATGGGCCGTATGTGTCTGCATTTACGAGATTACGGAGTGGGTACTACTGTTAACTCTGTGTGTGCCCTGCTTGCCAAGCTGGGTGACAGGTGGGCTGGTCTAAGGAGGAGGCGACCTATGGACAAAAGGAACATAAACACTACACAGACGCTGGGTATTAGTAAATAATAACTTCAAATCCTCCACACCGTCCCAGCAATTTCTTCTGAAGCACTGTGGGCCTGGATAATCTCATAAACAGAAACAATCGGGGAATTTTTTTTTTTCCTGGGCACTGTGTTAACATGGAAGGACTGAGCTGTGCTTTCTACTTGGCACCAAGCCTGTAGCTCTGGTTGTTAAGGTGCCGAGTTTGCAAATTACCTTTTAAATGGAAAATAAAGGACATGAGGTAAGAGGGCTGGAAAGACAAGGAGAGCTAAGGGGAAAAAACTAATGTCCCCACCTTCTTTCCTGAAAGGTCATCCGACATCAAGATGGATGCTAGCACTCTACTACCCCAATCTTTTCTTGCAAATGTCCAGTCACACGATTCAGCATCAACAGCCCTATGGAATGATAAATACTGTGATCTTTATGAGCTATCTGAAGGTGAAAACAGCTAGGAAATTTTGATACCATTTGGGAAAAAAGTTTAGGCCAAATTAAAATCAGCCCTGTGGACAAAGACAAAGGTTCACAAAGTCACCCAGTGGACGAGACTGAGTCAAATTTCAGAAGAGCCCTTCATCAGCACTCAGGAAGTGTGTGAAAGACATGCTTTGCCTTCCTTCATGAGAGAGCTACAGGTGGAGCCTTTGGGACAGACTCTCCCTGCCTGCACTTGAGACCCACCGCACCCTGGGAGCTGGGAGGCGGACAGCACGCGCTCTTTCCCTCTTCCTTTTTTTTTTTTTTAAGATTTTATTTATTTATTTGAGAGAGAGAGAATGAAAGACAGAAAGCATGAGAGGGAGGAGGGTCAGAGGGAGAAGGAGACTCCCCGCTGAGCAGGGAGCCCGATGCGGGACTCGATCCCGGGACTCCAGGA